TCTGTATTGGCGGGGTGAGGAAGGTCGTCACCATCCATGGTGGTTAGGATCATGGCTCCTCCTGAGAACACATGTTTAACCACAAATGGCCCTTCGTATGTAGGGGTCCATTTGCCCCGGGGATCACTTTGAGGAAGGATGATGCGTTTGATTACCAGGTCCCCAACTTGATACTCTTGTGGTCTGACTTTCTTGTTAAATGCCCTGATCATCCGTTTTTGGTACGTCTGACCATGACAGATAGCGGTGAGCCTCTTTTCGTCAATCAGGTTTAATTGATCAAGTCGAGTCTGGATCCAGTCATCTTCACTCAAGTCTGCATCCTTCATTATCCGGAGAGAGGGTATCTGGACTTCAGTCGGCAAGACTGCCTCCATGCCATAGACCAAGGAAAAAGGAGTTGCCCCGGTTGACGTCCTTGCTGAGGTACGGTACCCGTGAAGAGCGAACGGTAACATCTCGTGCCAATCTTTATAGGTCACTGTCATCTTCTGCACAATTTTCTTGATATTCTTATTAGCTGCCTCTACAGCCCCATTCATCTTCGGCCGGTAAGGAGAAGAGTTATGGTGCTGTATTTTGAATTGCTCGCAGAGCTCAGTGATCATCTTGTTATTGAGATTGGTACCATTGTCCGTAATGATTCTTTCCGGGACGCCGTACCGACAGATCAGATTATGCCGGATGAAACGTGCCACGACGCTCCTGGTTACTGTGGCGTAGGAAGCTGCCTCAACCCACTTCGTGAAGTAATCGATCGCTACCAAGATGAAGCGATGCCCGTTGGATGTCGTCGGTCGGATCTCACCGATCATATCAATGCCCCACATTGCAAAAGGCCAAGGTGCCGTCAGGACGTTCAGAGGAACTGGAGGAATGTGCACCTTGTCAGCATAGATCTGGCATTTATGACAAGTTCGAGAGTGTTGGTAACAATCGACTTCCATTGTGGACCAGAAATATCCTGCCCTAAGGATTTTCTTTGCCATGGTGTGTCCACTGGAATGTGTCCCAAATGTACCTTCATGCAGTTCTATCATGATCTTCTCTGCTTCAGCCTTATCCACACAACGCAGTAGAGTTGAATCATGATTCCGTTTGTAGAGAATGTCGTTGCTGAGGAAGAATTTTGCCGCAAACCTTCTCATGAACTTCTTGTCATTGACAGATGCACCTTCAGGGTATTCCTGAGCTTCCAAGTACCTCTTCACCTCATGATACCATGGTTTTTCAGTCACCTTTTCGGTCTCAAGATCGCAGCAGTATGCCGGTTCATCTAACTTCCAGATGATGATCCGGGGAGCCTCATTGTCCCATTTAACTTTGAACATTGAAGACATCGTAGCTAGTGCGTCCTCTAGCTGATTCTCCTCTCTTGGGAAGTGCTCAAAAGTTATCTCTTCAAAGTGGGGAAGCAAAGTCAACACACACTCCTTGTAAGGAATAAGATTTGGGTGTTTCGTATCCCACTCGCCTTTGATCTGATTGATCACGAGAGCGGAATCTCCGAAGACACTCAGAAATTTGATCCTTAAGTCGATTGCAGCTTGTAGACCCATGATACATGCCTCATATTCTGCCATGTTGTTGGTGCAGTTGAAACACAATCGGGCGGTGAGTGGAGTATGAGTTCCTTTGGGAGATATGATTACAGTGCCGACGCTGTTACCCAAAGCGTTGGAGGCCCCGTCCAGGCTATCTCAAGCCTTCCTAGCTATCTCATTCGCTTCCTGGGTGTTCAAGGAGTCTATCCCAATCACCAACAAGCATTTTCGTGCCCAAACACGCACTGTAAGCACCTCACGATATCCTTACTTTCTTGAAATTCAATATCACGTTTCTGGCATTTGTAGCATGAATTCTTTACATATTCTTGTTCATTGAAACATTTGCAAACTAGTGACAATGTTCAATTGCGTTTTTGTTAGCCATACTGAGATCCACCATTGTTAGGGTTTAGGTTTCGTTTTTAGGGGTTTTGATTGCAGGTAAAATTGGCCCAAAAGAGGGGTACCATGGTTTTCACAAGGCCAAGATGAATTGTTCTGCACCATTAGTTTTCATTTATTGTGCTTGTATGAGATTATGGAAATACGCAGGGCTATAGCTACAGACTTTTGTCTGTAGGTAAAAGTCTTGGACTTTTACCAACGGAGGGAGGAAGAAGAAGGGTGGCGTGGCACCCCCTGGCTGGTCTATTTAAACTTCGCGTGCTTTAATATATTCTTTGGCCTTTTTTCCAATATAATATTTGTTTGTTATCTATTGTACAACAAGGCACGCTAGCAGAGTTGGTCTGGAGGCATGTAGAAAAGGCAAAGAGCCTGGGTTCGAATCCCAGGTCCCCCATGTTATTTCATAATGCTTTTTCTTGTATAATCAGGCATGTGCACAGGCAGGAAGACTACCATACGCCCTTAAGGGACATCCAACCAGATGTCCACAAGCTGGATCCAAAGGCCATCATTTGAAGGTCTACAATGTACCCTAGTTAACTTGCAACATGGAATCAGAAAGGTCAACATGGATCCAGACTTATTGGGCTCAAACATGCTATGGACACCCCTTTCTACTTTGACAACAGGCCCATATTCTTTCTCTTTTATATTTTTTTCCTTTTTATTATTTTGATTAATTATTTCCTCACACAAATTTAATTCTTTTTTTTTATAAAAATTCATAAAATCAATTTTCATCAAATTAGAATTTAGGTTTTTTTTACATATTTTGTCAAAATTAATTTAATTAGTTTAATTTAATTCTAGGGCAATTCTAACCATTTGTAAATAAATTAAAACCAACTAGAAAATTAGGGTTTGGTTGATTTAATTTTTATTTTCTTTTTATGTTCTTAAAATAACCAAAATACAAAAATAGGTCAAAATTAATTAATTTTCTTAATTTAATTTAATTAGTAATTAGGTTTGTACTTATTTAATTAAAATCTTATTTTCTCAAAATAATCAAAAAACAACCAAAAATGATTTTTCTTTCAATTAGGTTTAGACGGGGTCAAAACCCTAATTTTTCTTATTCTCGATTTATCGCGCGCGTTTATTATTTTGGCAAATATTAATGTAACTGCTCATGGGATGTAATAGTTTAATTAGGATTTTTCGTTTATTTATCGTTTTACAGGTTTTTGGCTATGTAATTAATCCCCCTCCCCGAAGCCTTGTAATAGCGTAGTTTTATTTCTCACATTTTAATTTTCACAAATATTAACTGTTAGATGTATGATAATAGGATTGCATGACAAAAATGTATGTTAATTTTAAAATGGTTAGCAAACCCTAAATGTGCGAAGATAATAACTGAAATCAAATCACTCGCATATGCGCACTCCTAGGGTATACTCTCACTTCGGTTGCCTTCGGTAAATGATCATTAAGTATAGGGTGTTTTATTGGTCGCTCTTTTGTCTAAACAAAGATCAAATGTCCCGTTCGGAAATGTTGCCTCGAAAAGGTTGCCTCGAATATGATCTTGAGATATTAGAGTTATTACTAAGACATCCTAACATTGCTTTAGTGATCGTACGTCCCTTTCGAATTGACCCTTACAACTCTAACGGCGGTGCTACCTACTCCCTAATAGTAGGATAACACTGTCTAAAGGAAGCAAGAATAGAAACATTCTTTTTTCAAGTAGGTAGATGCTAGTAGGTACTTGCTCAAAATCAAACTTTTCCACACTTACACTCTTTTCAAACAAAGTTTTCAAAACGACTTCGTAACACTCTTGAAGACAGAAGCAAGGGTTAAATCGAAGTAAAACAAAAACTTTTCAAAACACACAAACACGGAAGCAATTTTTAAAATGATGAGCAAGTACCTAAGAGCCTGTAGAAAACTACAGATAGAAAGGGTGCTAATACCTTCCATTTCTATAATCTACCCCCCGTACTCAAAATCTCGAAAAAGGAATTTTTCTGTACTTTTTTCCTTTCCAGTTGGATAAAATAAAAGTCGATGGTGACTCTTGCTTACCGCGACATTTTGCAAACACAAACGCAAAACGCAAACAAGCATTTTCCTAAAACAGTCCGGTTCTGCCACCGTATCACAACCGCATAGACATTACACGACAAAATTTGGTTAAGTTAGTAATAGAGTCCACCACTAACAGAGATTACAGATTTACAAATGGTATCTTGTATTACAAAGAAATGGTTTTCTTACTGGATATCCAAAACTTTCGCCAAACTATTCTTCACGAACATCATCACACACCAACTGCTGGGTATTCAGGGGTCCAAGCTACCCTTGCACGACTGAGAGCATCCTTTTGTTGGCCTGGCGTTTACCTAGAGGTGAAATAGATGATTAGAAATTGCATAACTTGTTAACACCACAAATATGACACACAGAAAAAGAAAGGCTTGTTACAACCTTTACCTGTTCCAAACAGAGTCTGGGAAGACATTACTATGGACTTTGTTACACATTTTCCAAATTCCTTTGGCCACACAGTTATATGGGTGCTGTGTGATCGGCTATCTAAATTTGCTTATTTCATTCCCTTGCCCACAACATTCATTGCGAAAGATCTAGCTGCTCGCTTCACGATGGAGATTTTCCGTCTCCATGGCACTCCAAAATCCATTGTCTCGGACCGAGACCCTTTATTTCTTAGCAACTTTTGGAAACAGTTATTCAAGCTCCATGGCATGACACTTAAGTACAATACTGCCTATCACCCAGAGATAGACGGCCAAACTGAGGCCGTGAACCGTTCGTTGGAAACATACCTCTGTTATTTTGTTGGTGACCATCCTCATCAATGCCACAAGTTTCTGCACCTAACAGAGTATTGGTACAATACGTCTTTCCATTTTGCCATCCAAATGACTCCTTTTAGAGCACTATATGGACGTGACCCACCAACGTTACACCATTACTTGGAAGGCACCGCTACAGATCAATCATTAGACCTGACTCTGTCCACTCAAACAAATAATCATGGAGTTACAATCAAATCTCAGGAAAAGTATGGTAACAATGGAAAAGAAAGCAAATATAAAAAGAGGAGCTTATAATTTTCAAGCTGATGAATTTGTTTTGTTGAAACTGCAACCCTACCGCCAGTCCACTGTCTCTCATAGAATTTCGCACAAACCGTCCAAACGCTTCTATGGTCCCTTTCGCATCATTCGTCGTGTTGGCACCATCACCTATCTTCTGGATCTACCTTCTTCTTCCGGGATTCACCCTATTGTCCACGTCTCTCTCCTTAAACCCTATTATGGTGACCACCCGGATACAAATCTTCAACCACTTCCATCTTCAGATCTCATTGATTTCCCTGCAACAGCTGAAACCCTACAAGAAAATCAACAAAGAACAAAACAATTATCGGATCTCACAACATCACATGCAACCAAAGAACAAGAAGATAGAGTTACCAAGATTATTTCATCTTCAAAAGCATTCGCGTCTTGTAAACCACCGGTCGCCATCAGCAAGCCATCGTCTCCGTCTGAACGCATGACTATGGATTCTTCCTCACCAGACAACGCTCAAGTGTTTCCCAAAACAAAAAATACGTCTTCTCAAGTGTTGTCCACTTCTCCCACTTCCCAGACTCTTCATAACCCCAGACCCACATGCGCTCCTTATCACCGTCCAAATGTCCCACCAAATTCACCTTTTCAACACGTGGCTCACATGCAACGCCAAGTGCATCACACCACTTATCCCACTTTCCCCAACGACTCTTATAAGGATGACCTACAAGTGCAACAGCCCATTCAGCCTTTGAACCTTGAGGACAAGGTTCTTTATGGGCCCGAGAGTAATGTTATGAAGAAAGTTAGGCCCATTAGAGAAAGAAAAAGATCAGTCCTTTTAAAAGATTTCATTTAAATTATTAGGTGCAAGTAGTAATATTTTATTTGTTATCTTAGACTTTATATTTTGGTTAGCTGGCTCATTACCCATTAGATTTATAAACCTATCTATATAAGTATATGCTGCCTATTATTTTGAGTAGAAGAGAAATTCTTTTATTTTATTGTCCTCTTATGCAATTATCTTAGATTAAAGTAACATAGTCTATCATGGATGGTGACATTCTAATCTTTCAAAGAGAGACATTTTCAAATTGAGTTTCAGAAGTTGTGTTTTAAGTTATTTTACTCCTTGTATTGACCACTACTCCTTGTATTGACCACTAATTCTAACTCTTGAAAATATATGCGGTTACCAAGGTTAAGTCTCAGCTGCATTAGTTGTTGGTGGGGTTGTTGATATCATTGGGCCACATTTACATAATGTTAGTTCATTGTGTAAACTTTTCTTTAACATTTAAAATTTTATTATTTGGAATTCATAAATGGAATTCTCATCTATGTGTTCATATATTACATACCCCATACCGGATATTCATCTCAACCGTTTACAACCGCGAGGTTCTCTCTCTCTCTCTCATGGTTGTTGTTTATATTTTTGTTTTTCACCCCGTTACAGGATTAGGGTTTCGTCGTCACGACTGTAACTGTATTTCATGTATGATTTTTGTTTTTGTTTTACACTCATTTACAGGGTTAGGGTTTCATAGTCGCGATTGTAACTGTATTCGTGTATGTTTGTTTTTGTTTTTCACCCCTTTACAGGGTTAGGGTTTCGTCGTCGTGATTGTAACTGTGTTTCATGTGTGATTAACTTTTTAATTTTGCATTTGTCTATATTCCTTTCAGAGTATGATTTGACAAGAATGCTCCTTTTTGTTATTTTTGTGTGGTTTCAGCGATGGATACCAATAATGGAGTACCGAATCAAGGTGATTGGAGAGGTCAATTGCACCCTCGATCACGCCAAAGAATTGTCAACAAAATGTAAGCTTTACTTTTCACTATTTTGATGACCTTTTGACTGTTAATGCATATATCAAAAGATTTCAATCAGGTTTTCTTACTTGTCAGTAATATTCCCTTCCCCCGAATGGATTATACAAAGAGGATGTATTTCGTCCAAATTTTTGCTTATAATTCAACCCTTGTTTTTCATTTTTGTAGAATGGAAACTATAAAAAAGCATTTACCCGTGTCTGGTCAAGAGGGATTGCCTGCAATTCACAACATTGCCCAAATGTTTGAAGACAAGGTTTTTACTATTGCAACAAGCCAGGTATATCTCTAATCAGAAGCCACATGGTTATTAAATTATAGTTACTAGCACAAACTCATACCATATTGAATGAAGATTGACTATTTATTCTCACATTCTCTAATTTCAGTCTGATTATATAAAGAAAATATCTATGAAGATGCTTGCATTTGAGATTCAATTCCGGAGCACTACGGTCACCAATATAACATCATCATTGGATATGCTTACACTAGAGACTGAATCCCAGGGCAATATGGCCAACAAGGAGACTGAATCCCAGGGCAATATGGCCAACAAGGAGACTGAATCCCAGGGCAATATGGCCAACAAGGAGACTGAATCCCAGGGCAATATGGCCAACAAGGAGACTGAATCCCAGGGCAATATGGCCAACAAGGAGACTGAATCCCAGGGCAATATGGCCAACAAGGAGACTGAATCCCAGGGCAATATGGCCAACAAGGAGACTGAATCCCAGGGCACTGTGGCCAACAATATGACATCGAATCAAGTTGCCCCTATCAATGAACTTCTTGACCCAGGTATGCATTGAAGACCTTTGCCACAGTGATTGCATTCTGAGAGTGCCAGACTCTGAATTTTTTCAGCATTTGCTCTGGACTACACTTTGACCTATTGCTTTGAGATATCATTGACAATTAAAATTTTGCTGGTCCTACATGATCTATGTCCCTGTCCTCTCTATCTTCGATCTTTATTTTTTTTCTTTCAATATTTCTTGTTAATATTTCTTGTTAATATTATTCCTGACATTACATTATTATTATTTTTTTTTTGCATCTCTGGCTTAGCCAATGGGAGACCGGATCCAGGTGATTGGAGAGGTAAATTGCAGCCTAGAACGCGTGGAAGAACTGTCAACAAACTGTAAGCTCTATTGTTAATTAGTGTGTTTTGGTAGAGAATGCTGCCATTAGTTTTGAACTAAAGTATGAGGTTTTCTACATTCTGTTTTGCCGGTTCTTTTGAACTGAGGGAGTATTATTCAATAAATAATCCATTGTTTTTTTTTTTTTTGTAGATCGAACACAATGATAATGTGTCTTCCCTATTCTAGTCCAGATGTATTGCGTCAACTTCGGAAGCTTGCCCAAAGTTTTGAAGAGAGGATTTTTACTGCTGCAACAAGCGAGGTATATCTCAGATTAGAAGCCATATGGTTATTAAATTATAATTACTAGCACAAACTCATGCCATATTTGAAGATTGACAATTTCTTCTCAGCATTCTCAAATTTCAGTCTAATTATGCAATGAAAATACTTTTGGAGAGTATTAAAATAGAGATTAAACTCAAGGGCGCCTCTTTTGCCAATAAGATGACATGGAATCAAATTGGCCCTAGCAATAAACCTCTTGATCCAGGTAATCATTTAAGAGCTTTGCCACAGTGATCGTATTCTTAGAGTATCAGACTATGAATTGTTTCATGTCTTCTAGCATTAGCTATACGGACTGTACTTTGACCTATTGCTTTGAGATATCATTTAACACTTAAAGTTTGCTGGTCTTACATGATCTCTGTCCATGTCCTCTATCTTCAATCTTTATTTCTTTTCATTATTATTCCTGTGTTATTCATGAATTATGAATCATTTGGATTCTGACATTACATTATTATTATTATTATTATTATTATTATTATTATTATTATTTGTTTTTGCATCTGACTTAGCCAATGGGAGACCGAATCAAGGTGATTTGGGAGGTACATTGAAGCCTGAAACCTGCGAAAAAATTATCAACAGCATGTAAGCTTTGGTGTAAATTCTGTGTCATTGACTTGATATGAGTTTTTACTGTTGATGCATATCAAAAGATCAATTAAATATAAATTGTTGATTGATTTGATATCTTTGTAAACATGTGGTGTGTTTTGGTGGAGAATGCTTCCATTAGTTTTGAGCAAGAGTCTAATGTTTCCTGCATTCTTTTTTGCGGGTTTTCTGGATGAATGTTTAGTGGAAAACTACCTTGATCTTATTGTTTTGCGGGTTTTCTGGATGAATTTTTAGTGGAAAACTACGGTAATTCTTAAGGAGGAGACTATCTAAGATGTTAGTTACCAAGAACATTTAAAGTTCCTGTAATCCATGTCTGCCATCCATTCTACTATATATTTTTTAATCAGATCATGTCCAGATGATTTCAATGATGTTTTCTTGCATGTCCAGATGATCTCAATGATGTTTTCTTACATGCCCGTCACACTGTATCATATTAGGATTGTCTAGTGACTAACATATTAATAACTCATATATTAGTATTATTTAATAAACTAAGATGGATCGAAGAATGTATTTGGTTCAAATTTTAGCATTTAATTTAGGAGTGGATGATGTATTACTTATCGTTTGTCCTTTTTGTAGAAAGTACACATTAAAACAACAACTTCCTATTGTTTCTGGTCAAGAAGGAACAGATGATTTTGGAAAGATTGCGCAAAGCATTGAAGAGTGGATTTTTACTTATTCAACAAACAAGGTATATCTCTAACTAGAAGCCACATGATTATCAAATTATACTTACTAGTTATATTACTCACATACCATATGGAAAATTGACTTTATTGTGACATTCTCTAATTTCAGGCTGATTATGAGGCATTGAAATCTAACTACCAGGGCTCTGAGAAGAACTTTATAGCATTGGAGTTGGCACAATTAATTGAAATAGATAGAGTCATGTGTTTACCTTGCGTGCTATGATGTCATAAACTCTAATGAAAAATGTTAGAAGAAGAGTCTTCTTGTGCAATTAACTAAACATGAAAATATCAGGAGCAACAAAACAATAAATAAGTATTCTTCCATCTATTAAACACCTTTGTATAAAGAAATAAGCATCAAAACATTTTTTTTATAGCAAATTTCATTTTTTTAATAAATATTTTGAGTATAGACATTTGTTCCACGATATAATAGACTTTCAACAAATATGGTGTCTAGCAAAATTAAGATCATTGCCATGAATGCTTAATCAAGACAGGACCACATCATTTTAGAGAAAATTAACGGAATGTTGGAGATGTTTATGAAGAATTTGGATTAACTAGTGTCCTTTGAACAATGTAGGTAGAGCTAAACAAGTTATTGTAGTTTTATGATTTTGAAAAAATGTTTCAGAAAAAATTATTTGGTCGCAGGCTCATCAAACAGTGCTTTTTAGCTTTCTTCAGGATTTGGCCCGAACTGTTCGGCAGATTCTCACGCATTACGCACCCGTTCGCCACTTTGTTTTCAATTGTTCCCACCTCCTGGGCGAGACAAGCTACCTTCACGCTAGGAGCCTCTTTTCCTTCTGCCCAGCTCCCCAAAAACAACGTTCGACTTGTATGTGTTAATCATATAGCTAGCGTTCCTTCTGAACCAGGATCAAACTCTTCTTTTGAGTATGATTGGGCCCTGCAGTGGTAGAACCTGGTGAACCGGGCGTCGTAGTAGAAGGTCACTCTCGTTAAGACGTCTCACATTATTGTTTAAATTGTATAATATAAATAAAAGACATCTCACATTATTGTTTAAATTATATAATGTAGACAACCAGTTACAATACCTCTCAAATTAAACAACTTAGTTGAAAAGTGATATGCAACATAAAGAATACTCTTGTAGAAAAATCACCTTACATGGCACATAGCAGGTTGATCAATTCTACACATGATCGTAGGAAGTAACTGTTGGAAGCTTGCTCACCAAGATAAAAGTGTGTGGTCAACAATTGATGTAACATATGAGCAAACATATTTAAAAAAATGACCATTGAAGGCTTGGTCAACAATTGATGTAATAGATGAGCACAACACAAACCACAAATAAAAAATGTATCAGAGATACATTTCGGTATCCATATTAGGATTAATCCGGATGAGCATCTCCATAGTAACTTTTATTTCAAAATTATGTGAGTTTTACGAAGATGCATATCTGAAATACACTTTGTAAGCTTAAACCGCAAACCAGTAACCAAAACATAAAGTTGAATATAAATATAATTAACATCAAAATACATAACATTACATAGATAATCATTAACATAAATTTAACATTACATTTTATCAGGATATTGCAACATCATTAGAATATTTTCGACCAATCTTGCAATTGTTGCATCCACTTTAATCAGAGCATTTGTTTCATAATGGTGAAATGTACTTCACATAACCCATAAGTCTTCATTCAACTCCAGCTCAAAGTTGTTGAACTGAATCTTTCCTTCGTTGTCAATCGAAGGTGAACGGTACTCAAGCTTCACAACTCTTCGATTGTATGAGTATTATGGGAGACTCTCCAGTATGAATTTTATATCTACAAGAGAGGTATACACTATGACCATAAACTCAAGTGAAGGATTCGCGCTGTTGAAGTAGACAAATGCAACATGCCAATATATGTTCGTTTTGATGTAGTATGATTTTGTGAACAATATGAGATGAAATTCCACATATTTATATAAGTTTTAGTTCATTATGGACCTTAAAAATCCTATCATGTATCACATGATATTCCTTATATGAATTCCATGACTCACCCTATTTGTTTTCCAATACAAGGGTTTCTACGAAGATGCATTTTCGAAATACCCCATAATTGATAGTTTGTGTAATTAAAATGGGTTAATTTAGAAGTGCATCTCTAGACTTGCCCCACTGACTCATTGTTCACACATAACCTGTTTTATGCAGAGAAAATTTGTTAATAGGTTGAAACCAAAATTTTCTTTAAATTGACCTAATTGTTATACAATTAATGTTTACTATACATTACATATGTATCACATTATATCTAGATTACATCAGCATCAATAATACATAAAAAAATGAACCACCATCTAAATACATAGTTAGATAAAATAGTCACCGTCTGAACATGAACAAAATATTGTCATTTTGAAAGCCACCTAATACACATGATGCATCCGAATAGATTTTGAGATGACTAACTCCGAAGTGGAAAAATGTTTCGAGTAACCATATGTTGTACCTCAAAAATTTTCATTTCTTCTTCTCAAGATATTTCTCACAAAGATCTTCAATGATTCAAGCTTGCACAAGTATTGACTAGGTCAAACCATCTCTTCAACACTGATGCCTCAAATTAGGGTTTGAGTTTGCACATGGATAGTTGGACTTCTAATGTTTCAAATGACTACCATGGATCATTATGGATCCTCAAGATTGCCCCTGTCAAGTTTCAAGTCTTGAATTACCAAAGTTGCTCAATAAATTTATCAAATGACCTAAAATCAGCTAGATTAAAAAAAGTCAACTGCGGTCAACCTACAGTCAAACTTCAAGATTTTGGACCAATATCAACATTTTAAAGTCATATGTATCATTTGATCAAGATCAGATCATAATTCACCAAGAAAATCATTCAAATCGTCAAAAGGGCAAAATGGTCAAAATTAGGGTTTTGACTGAGAACGACCAATCTTTGACTTTTGACCTAGTACATGACTTATTGGTTAGAAACATGATCTCAAGGATTCAAGTACATCATTTGACCTAATTGCATATTTCAATTCATCCCCCGATTGACAGATGAAAGTTGGTCAGCTGATGAAAAGTTAATTGTACACTGAAAAGTCAAACTTTGACTTTTTGGTCGAATTTGGTTTTCAAAAATCACATTTCATCAAGACAATTCAAAATATGGAATTTGATCATCAAAAGTCAAGAAAGACAAAAATCAAACTTTGTAAGGCTTAGAAATTTTTCTAAGAATTTGTATACTTGTTAATTGCTTCATAACATCTTTTCACTATAATTCAAAATAATTCAAGATGTTACAAATAATTCAAGTTATTACAAGGTGGCATTTTTGCAAGATTACAAATCCTAAGCTTTTGCTTTGTTTGAATTTTTTCCCTTTGACTCAATGTCTAAACTTTGCCACTATGCTGTCTACAGAACAGACTTGTATCATGCTACAAATGTTGCTATCCAAGAAAGCCCAAAACAATATCAAAAACACTCTGTTGTACTGCTATAAAACAGTCGTGCACCAAGCTGCCACAACACTCCAAAACTGCTGCAAAACAGCTCTGCTATGCTACTACCAACTCATTCCAAGCCTGCATTATCTCAGTCCCATATTGCACAAAATTAGCACATAAGAGCTGCATCAAAAAGTAATGGAACAGTATACCCAAACAGTTCAAAAACTTATTTGTTTCCCCCCTAAATCTTAGCCAAACTTCATCTATAAATAAACTGTTTTCATAACACATAAGGGGTTGCTTAGAGAGAGAGAGAGAGAGAAGAGAGAAGAGAAAGACATCATTCTTTGTAAACTCTATTCATTTACAAAAGACCCTTGCTCATACTCATCTCTGTTTTCATTCATCAAAACAGAACCTCAACCCATTATTCCATCTTGCAAATCCTCCCATAAACCAACCAGCCCAAACACCTTACATCACATAGAGATTGTTCAAACACAAGAACAATTTCTGTACTGCCATTATCTTCACCTTCCAAACACAAAATAAAAATAGTACAACATAACTTGACTGAGTTAGTGTGGTTCAACATCTTAGAATAACTTCCTGGAGATTCACTGAAGCCATCGCAACATCTTGAAAAGTATTTAAACTCAAAACACCAAGTGAAGTCTCAAGGTAAGTCTTCTTGACCTTGCATTTTTCATACATCACTAATGATTCATTTTCGAAGATAAAATGTAGTAATCATTTCCCCTGGAAGCTAACTCATTTACTTGTTGTTCATTTGTATCAATCATATGCTGCAAATTGGCTTGCACATATAATAGAACAATGTTTAACGCAAAAAACTACAGCATGAGTCGACACATACTCACATGAGTCGACTCATTTTAGTGACATAACAAGGTATGCGTCGACACAAGACCTTATGTGTTAACACATACTGATATCCAAACCCCAAAGTAGAAGGATAAAAGGTGCATGAGTCAACACAAAACACGAATGTATCGACACAAGCAGGAAATGATTCGACACATCCTGTTGTACCCCAAAATTTGCCCTCTCATTTTATCAAGATTTTCATCACAAGACTTCTTGGACTCAAGATCAAATTAGGGTTTGCTCAGCTCAAGACCTCTCTTTGCCCTGATGACCTGAAATTAGGGTTTGAGTTTGCACAAGGATTTTTGGACTTCCAATGCCTCATGTTACTTTCATACTTCATGTTGGACTCCTAAGATTGCTCATACCAAGTTTCAGACCTTGAATCACATTTTTGCCCAGTCAATTGGACAGTTGACCTAAAAATCAACTATATTGGGGAAAAAGTCAACTATGGCTAATTTGCAGTCAAAACTCATAAATTTTGATCCATATCAATATTATAGACTCATATGAACCATTTGATCAAGTTTGGACCACAACTCCTCAAGAAATTTGATCAGATCATCAAAATGGCAAAATGGTCATTTTTAGGGTTTTGACTGTAGAAGGGCAATTTCTGATTTTTCACCTAGCCAATGGCAAATTGGGTTCAAGAATGGTTTCAAGGACTCAATGGTATCATCTTGACCTAATCACAAGGTTCAAAAGATCTCAAATGCATTGGATTGACAGATGAATTTTCCAATCAACTGATCAAAAATCAACTGTACACTGAAAAGTCAAACTTTGACTTTTTGGTCAAAATCAAGTGCCAAGGGTCATTTTTCATCAAGATGTGTCAAAACATGAAAATTTTTCACCAAGAAACCTAATTTTG